AATAAAGGGGTCTAATATTTTGTGTGTAGAATCGAGGCTAGTACCTGCTAATATTTGTACTAGAAAAACTGAAGACATGTACATTATAAGGAGCTTTTGCGGAATGATTGTTGAAATCAAAAAAATATTTTTTATTTCAATTATATACAAATCAGAGAATTCTATAAAATTTTCAATTATATAGAAAGCAGAGAAAATCCAGTTTCTAAGGTGGAAATTATTGATATTTAAATACATTAATAGATAATACCTATTGAACTAAAAAATCTCTTACACTGTTGAATTACTCTAAGAACTTAGTTTCTAATTTCAAATCAGAAGATGCAAGCAGGTCACATGTTGTGATTTTTTTCCAATAAGATTTCAAAAATATTTTTGGCATGAGACCTGTGGAACTTCCACCAGATCTTTTCCTGCAGCATCAGCAGCATATATGAACTTCAGAAATGGAATTTTATTTATCTGTGGCAACAGAAGATCTTTACTGATATTTGGAAACCAGATTATAGAATTCTTATTAATATTGCAAAACCCCCATAATTCAGTATATTTTTCAGAACTATATGTATGTGTATCAAAATGGCATCATATAATCAAAAATGCATGACTTTTTTCAGAAGTCATGCAGATCTGAAGTTTTTGTATGCTTAGCATCATAAAAATGTTTCTCATAAAATGTTTTATAATATATATTCTTCATCCCTCACCTAGTCTATCTCATAAAATAATATGAAAGAAGTTTCAAACTTGCACATGAAAAACTTAGTTGGAACAATAGTAATTAGTACCCTGTATTAATTAATGAACAACACTTCAGATTGGTATCCAGAGTGGTCTGAGGACACGTAGCTAAGATATACATATTAGAACAGACAGAACATGGGGAATACAGAACATGGGGAATACATTAACTTCAGAGCAGCAATTAATGCTTTGTTATTGAAGGTAAAATAAAAAATTAACCTGTTTATATCATACATATGAAATCAAAACTTATAATGTTCTTCTTATTTAAATTTAAGAGATTCTTTTCCCTTGGGATTAGAAGATCCAACGCAAAAAAAAAAAAAAAAAAAAAAAAATGGAAAACAGTTAAACACTTGAGGCAAAAGAGTTATTCCACTCTTTCAAAGATTCTCAGACTTCCAAAAGAGAAACAGAAGAATGAAGAAGCCATTATACATGAGAAGAAGGAATTTAATTCAGTCATAAAAGCATTTTGCCCCTGCCAATTAAAATAATAGGTGGATAACCTGAAAATTCAGTAGCAAAACAAAAATTATTTTCAGATGGCAAAAAAAGGCAAAGATGATGAACAGAAAGGTGAAATATCTAGATTTATAGAAAACACAAATCAAATCTCCTTGGGAATAATGTCTATTTCTTTTTACATTCCCTTTTTTAATAGCTTCAGCATTCCAGAGTTATAAATTCTCTTTTCCTATTCATGAGATCTTGGGTCTGTTTAAAATAATTCAATTGCTGTGATGAAATTCATTGTTGCACAGGTAGTATTTTAGGGCTTTATAACTGTGGAATGTGTGCAATGAAATTCTAGTTCCTCTAAGGAGGGTGGAAGAACTCTCTTCTGATGAGTTTAATTGGTGCAGAATTCAACTTTCTGAGTGTAGATCCTCCATTTAATTCCCTCTATTTCTGCTGATATTTTTTGAAAAGATGTCAGTACAGTATTGTCCTTATCATAGGAACAGGGAGTGGTTGGTTCTAGAAACAGATGCCAAATACAGGGTGTCACAGCAATTCTCAAGCAGATCCTTTGCCTTCAAGAAAGGAGAAAAAATTCCCTTTGTGGGAGAGACTTGCTGTTCTTGCTTTGCAGACAGGTTCTATCCTCCTCTAGGTGAACACTTTCCAAGCCGTTTGTAGAAGATGTACCTGAAGGATTTAGAACATTCTCAGAAGCTAAAAATTTATCAGTGAGTCATAGGGCTTATTGTCAGAGGTACAAATGCAGAAATGTTTCTTGTTTGCATGATTTTGCAAGACTGGAATTAAAAATTGAATACTTATATATAGCCAGGCTTGCACAGAATACTATGATAGGGTTATTCTGCATAAAAACAATTATCAGAATTAAGCTCTGATATAGAACAGATATAGAACCAGACCCCACTATTGCTGATCATTTGGACTCATTTATTGTGTTAGGTAATGTAACATGTATCAGCATTTTACAGGTCTGATAGCTTATCATTAGGGTTAATTGAATACAAAATGCTTTTTGTCAGGTCTGGAGACAAGTACTTGCAATGTGGCAAAACTAAAACCACTACATCTTTATTACACTGGCGTGGCCTTAGGAAATGGGTGTTTGTAATGCTGTTGTAAATATATAATATTATAGTAAACATAATTACTAGGAGAATCAATGCAAATTGGTTATAGAGCCATCAAAAGAACATACCACAACTGTTAAAATTAATTAGTATAACTATTTCTAGAGTAGGAGAAGTAATAAACTTGTGCACCTTTTTCCATCCTCCAGTCTCAAATAACAAGCTGAAAACAGGTACTTGAGATTTCTACACATTACTATTTTAAAAGGTTCTTTTTTTTTTTAGTTAGTTTTACATAGAAAATGGGAAAAAATAATTTTTTGACACTTTTCAAAGCATATTATACTACATACTAATAATATATTCTATATATATATTAAAATGTATTCTATACATATTCTATGTTTTATTTGTATTCTTTATATATGTTTAAATAATATTTGGAAAACACTTTCATGGCACTGCCTACTCATAAGGGCAATAGGCAGCTCTAAAAAAAGGCATAGAATGGTTGAGTTTGGGAGGGACCTTAAAGGTCATTTAGTTCCAAGACCTGCTGCCTTGGGCAGTAACGACTTTCACCGGACTAGGCTGCTACACAACCTTTTAAAAAATCTCTTTCCAGCTCTCTTGTAGCCCGCTTTAGATACTGGCAGGCTCCTTTAAGCTCTCACTGGAGCTTTTTCTATGTTTTAAACAGCTTTCACACTAAAGTGAAAAATGTTATTTAACTCTGGTGCTCCTAGGAAATCCATGGAATGAAGTTTTGTGGATCATATTTTTCCAGTTAGAAACTGAGGGTGTCCACATTTAGTTTTTTGCACCCTAGCAGATGTTTTAAACATGCCTCTCATTATTTTTGTGACACATATTCCCAAATCCTGTTTTCTTGGACAAGTAGATGAAGAATAAGCTACCCCAAAGGCTGCACATGAGGCAGCCATTCACTTCCTCTACAGTCTGATCCAATAGATTTCAATTAACCTAATCCTTACCCTAAGGTCCTCAGGTATCTGCCCTCAACACACTCAATCCCTTATTTCTGCTCAAACACTTTTTTCCTCATTTAACCACTGAAGACCTTTTTTGTCATTGTTGCTGTTATTAATTAAACACCCATCTGTGATTTCTTAAATCTTTTACTAAACTTATTTTATTTGAACCAGTGAAGCACAATTCTCCTTCTATTCCATTAGTTGTTTTTAATTGATCTAACTGAAGCAAGTTCCTAACCAGTTAGCTAATTTCTTCAATTAATGAAACCAGCTGTCTCACAGTCATGTTATTGATCATTTTCAGGCCTAAGCATCTGTTATTCCAGGCATTTTAATGGTCATTTCCAATTGCCTCGGATATCATTATACACAATCATTGCACTGTCTTTTAACAAATTTAATTAATCCCAGGCATGTTCACTTCTCTTATTACTCTAACACTCTAGCATGTTGTTCTTTAAAAAGAGGTACCCTTCCATGGCTAGGAAAGATAAAAATACTGATTCTCATTTCTCATGTATTTTTTTCAGAACACATTGCTGATCTAATACCTACAAAATCTTTTCCTTAGTATGGAGCTACTGCACTCCAGTGTTAAACCAGTGCTTCCCACTTTCTTTCTTCCAACCTTTACAGCTTTACTTATAAAACTACAATATTTTTAGGATACACACCCTCCATGTAATAAATTTTGAAAATAACAATTGTTCTTTCATTACTACTAGTGTCCAAAGTATTCTGATGAATAATGTTCTACTAGCTGGAACATCCATGAACTTAGGAGACAAGAATACAGACACCTTCTGCTCATGATGCTCAATTATTCTGATCACTGGTCCATAAAAGAGGATAGAAAAAGCAAGTTTATATTTAATAACTTTCAGCAGCTTGAGACCAAGACTGTCTAACTGTAAATCTCCTTTAGTCAGTGTTTGCTTATCCAAAGAATGAAAAAAAAAAAAAGGAACTACAAGAGCAGATTAAGTTATTATGAATGCTTAACCTCGCCTGCAAAGTCAAAAGGATAAAATAGAGGAATGGATTGCTGTGTGAATCTGGTATCTTGCACAGAGGTATTTTTCAAGATAGTTATATCAAGAGCACTGTGGGCCTGTATCTTGCCTTTTTTTTTTTTTTTTTTTTTTTTTTTTAATTAGGATTCAGGATTAATCAAGGATTAAAGCTGCCACTACTTTTTAGAATAATGTAAACCTAAAACCTTCTTTCAGCAGCCACTTGAGTATTGAAAGCAAAGATTAAACTCAGACTCTACATGTTACTTAAGAACACACAGCATTTTAATTACCTGAATAATCCTTGTAAATGGCACAGGACTGCAAAGGTAGTAGAGATAAACACATTTACATATTTACCTAATGTCTACCATTTAAATAAGAACTTGGGAGCAGTGTCCCAAGAACATAGTGGAGTACTCAATAACCTCATTTAAACCAGCCACTGGTTATCCAGAATTTGTAAAATAGATTGCTAGATTCTTTTGATCTGGTAGCCAAATATATAGATATCTGGCTTTTTCAATGCTTATCAAATATTTCAGATGACATAAGGATATAATTGAAGCAAAAACAGACTCAGTTTTTTTCTCATTGAAAAATATGGAACTAAGAATTCTTTTGCTGCATTTGTCTAGTGCTAGAAGAATTACACTGCTAATGCCTTATTTATATCAAAGAAATACAGCAGACAGTTCAAAGAATCAAAAAAAAAAAAAAACAAACAACCACCTCTTTATTTTCTTCCAAAATAAAAGAGCAAAATTCTCTATGTAATAGCAACTGGGTAGTACTTAGTGCTGCAGACAGTGTATATGCTAGATGATGCCTTTTCTCATCCTATATAGTCTTCTGGCCATTGGGATAATCCAGCAAGGTGCTGAGTACTCTTTGGCATGTGCTGAGTGCTCCAAGCAATATTACAGTAGAAATAGGTCCTTTCTTCCACAGCACTTTGCAGATTTGAGCTTTTGCACTTATGGACATCCCAAGGCACATCACTGACATTGTACTCTTCATTACAGCCTTTAAAAGAGTAATTGCAGACATACTCTCCTGGAAGACAGTAGAGAGTGAACAATGAACTTGATGTCTTAAGGAGCTGGAAGAGAGGCTAGATGGAGTTGAGTAATTAAGTGTGTATTTATTGAGGTGATTTCAAAGGCCACACCCTGGCAGTACCAGAGCCAGTTGTGGCTCTGCCCAGATGGCTCCAAGATGGAAGCAAAAGACGGCTTGGTCATGAGATCTCATATTTTTATAAGTTTTAGTCCATTTGCATATAAGAGTAAACTGTCCAATTAATAGCTTCATCCTCCTTGCCTGCTTGCCCACCCTCCTCTTTTGGCCTGAAGTTTGAGGAGATTGTCCTTGAGTCTCCAGCTAGAATAGGATTGTTTTGCCTTCATCACCCTGTGAAAAGACCCTAGTAACACTTAATATAAAGCTAAAGCTGCACACCAAAGCAGAACAGAAAAACTTAAAACCTAAGGTATCAAACTCAACTTCAGGAACAACATTGAAGTACAATGTATTTATAGTAACATTTCCACAAAACCAAGGACACACTAGAGACATTTGCTAATGCATTGTTTCTCATATTATGAAAGGGAGAAGAGGAAAAATAAGCAAAAATAATAATTGAGCTTAGTTTTTAAATTTTCACTTTTATTCCATCCTTTCATTCTTCCTTTTATGATCTCCATTTTCATTAATTTGAATATAAATTTTAACTCTGAACAAATGGAAAGTCTTAAATACTTAAAAAAAAAATTCCTTCCATTCTCTGACCATATGCTAAAAAATATGCACCTGTGTATGAAAGCCAGCACTGTGATACCGCATCTCAAATATTAAACTAACACACCTTCAACTGAAATAAAAAATGGAAAGGGATTAAAAATGTTTAGTATTCTTCCTATAAACTGCAGTTTTAAGTGAGAAGTGTCAAGGGTCAAACTGATCTAAGGATTTGTCAAAAAGCCTCTGCATAGAAGAAATTGTGGACACTTCTGCAAAATCCTGTTGTTCAATCACTTTTGCGAATGCCCCTTGCTGATACTCTAATATGTGGCTGATTGCAATGTGATATCCCCTAAGTATATGCTAATATTCTTCCCACTCCATAGTTGCAGTTGACTCTATTAAAAAGCTGTTAATGATTAACGCTATTAGCATTCTTTGCTGTTAAAGAGGACTAGCACGATCCTTGGAACTGCATATGTCAGTAGCGTTCAGGCTTCTTACATTTAATGAGCTAAGGCATTGAAGTACAGATGAAGATTAAGCCAGACTGATTTAATGCATTGATTAATATTGAATTATGCAATAACTGTTAACATAAATATGTGATAACATTGAGTATTTATACATTAAATTTCACAGTTATATTCAATAAAACAAATTGCTGAATATTTTTCAGCTGAGTGTCATATCAGTGCAGATAAAAAATACCTAAATGTTTTACTGTTTAGTGTCACTGTTTGCAACATGTTATTTATTTCTGTTTCCCATGATAGCCTCTACATTGTGTCCTTCAGCAAAGCCAAAGCCTAGTGAAGCAAAATACTTCTATCTGACACATTTTAAATTTCTGTTGTATATAAATTTCTGTTTATATTTCTGTTGTATATATTACTCATGTTGCATGATGTTATTTTTTACTCTTTAAGTCACTTGTGTGCCATCCCAAATCAGCTGACAGCATTGCCTTGGGTAGAAAACTCTTTGGTATTCGATGATGTACAACAGCAAACACAATGGGAGATAGCAAATTTGTTAAAACCTTGTGGTTAACCTTTCCTGTTAACTGCAATATTGTAAAACCTTTATGGCCACAGGAATTGCACAGCCTTTGCTGACACTGAAACAGGCAATGGTTATTGCTGAAGGCATCTGACCTAACAAAGCTTCTTTGGGATTAACAGAACAACTGGGATCCTGAATAAAAATGTGTTTTCATATTGCTTTATGGTGGATATTTTATCCAATAATCTTAGCAGCCTGTGAGAATATTCTGTATATCCATTTTTTTTTCTTGCACCAGTTTCGATATTGTCAAATACAAATAATTTCAAGCCTCAGTGTTTGAAAATACTTTGCATTGGATCCTTTTCAATAAATCTTAACTAGAAAACTAAAAACAAATGCTAAATTTGTCCCCAAAACAGGCAAAAAAAAAAACAAAAACAAAAAAACCAACAAAACACTGGTATTCTTTTCCATATAGTAGTCTCATTACTGTTTAGAAGAATAATATTTCTTGTATTAGTTGCTAGTACTTGAAGTTTCTGAGTATTAGAAAAAGGACCATATAAGCCAAAATTAAACAGACTGTTTTTTCTTCACAAGAAAGTCTCTAACATTTACAATGAAACAACTGAAAAATAGAAAAGTTAATAAATGTTGACTCATAACTGCTGTGTAGTTCTCAAAATGAATTGTGCACACAATATAACAAAGCAATGGCATACTTATAAAAAATCAAATTTTAATTTATATTTTTGAATAAACTCCCTTATATCATTTGAAAACTACTTTGTGTTTTTGCACAAATTTTCTAATAATTTGTTTGCAGGGTAATGTCCAGAGAATGAACTTAAAACTGTTGCAATTTTTTTAGAATCAAAATTCTGAATATCAAAATAATAGAATAAGTTGTACATGATATTATAATGGAAGAGGAACAAAGTATATTGTTTATGTAGTCTGTGATACTAAATGAGAGTGATATTTATTGTTTCACAAAACAAAATGCTAAAAAAGAAGAGAACAGAGTCAAGTAATTTGTCCTGATTTCAGAGATCTTTTTCACATGGATGTGATGCTGATAAATTTTAAAATAATTAATAAAAAATATGTAAGTGTGTATTTAATATAAAAAAAACCCAAACAACTATTAGTAGTTAGTCTATTGACTATTTATTTCAGATTATTCACCCAAAGACACAGGAAAGCTCTTCATAGCAAGACAGTCCCAAGTTTCTTATACTGACCGAGACCAAGAACATTTTTACAAGCTCTGAGTTTTTGTTCTTTTTTGCTTCTCCCTTTTCTTATTTTTATCATTTATTCTAGAAGTCAATAAATCATGTTGTCCTAGAAAACATATTGTTTTTCCTTATACTTCACCCCTTGTCTGCCTGACTGTAACATAGGCCCATATATGCTCTATTTTGGCAAAACTTGTAGAAATACTGCAAGCAGCTCTCATTCATTTTGGGGAAAAAAACCAATGGATGCTGGTATGAAAACACCACTGTACAAATTCCAAACCTGCTTCTTTCTGCTTTTTTTTATCTTTGACAACTTTGCATCCATCACTAAGATTACAAAAGATTATGGCATAGGATTTCAGAACATTTTGAAGAAAAAAGGAAGTTGTGAAGAGTGCTTGTTTCCTTAATTGGAAAATTGACACAAAGTTTTTCTCTTCTTAGTTTATGTTAATTCCAATAAATGTGTTACTGAACAGCCCAATGGAAAGTGCATTAATGGATAAATGTATAGAACAGTCGTTCATCCAAGTATCTTAGCTATTCATCTCATGATGTGAGCAATTTCATGTTGTTTTAAGCTTTGAGTTACTAATATGAAGACTAATGTTAAATATGTGCTTTTTCCAAAGAATTTATTCTTCATATAACACATATGAGGCATTTTGATGAATTCTAGAAAGGGAATTTCTACAAGTTTTTTGTAAAGTTGTCATTGGATCTAGTACTGGCATATTTTTAATTCCTGGCACTAAATATATTGCAGGCTAGAATTTTGGTCTCTTCTCTTCACTTCTTAATGACTGATTGAAGCTTTGTGGAATAAATCAAAGTACAACATAATGGAAATTATATACTGGTGATTTTTAAATTAAGTAGAAAGCCTGTAAACTAAACTACATGCATGTGTTGAAAGTTAAAATTCAAGTTAAATATCTTAACCTGTTTCCTTAGGAAATTTAGTAATTAATTCTTCAAGTATAGGACTGACAAAAGAAGTAGAGGGACATCAGGGACCTAGAGCTAATCCTGTAATACTGACAATGTCTACTGCCTTAAAAAAATGCCTAACTGTGGAAGTGTGTACACTGCACAGCACACTCTGTGTGTGTACAACTGCACAACATTGGCGATACTTTAAATACTCAAGGTACTCAAGGTGCTGAAAGGTATTCCTGTATTTGCACATCACTGATTTCACACTGGCAATCAGGAATCTCCTGTTTGTCTAAAACCAAATTGCGTTCTCTGTGTAGAAAGACTTCCCATTAGGACAAAAGTTCAATTAGCCATTTTCTGAAATTGCTTGATACACGCTTTTTAGATAGACACAGAAGGTAAACATGATCACTTTTTTCTTGAAGTGAGTAGTTAATAGCATCAAAAATGTACAAGATATTAAAATATTAGTCTCTCATACTCCTGTTATTGTCCAAAGCATAGAAAAAAAATAACTAAAGCTCAAATAAATCTATAAGTTTTGTTTCAAAGTTCAGTACTTGTTATCCATTACTTCTATTAAAAATGACAAATTTTTGTGCCTGGAATTGTTTTCGTTAAGAACTCCTACACTGACATGCTCTATCAGGTATTGTTCTGACTGCTGAATTACACAGGAAACAAACACAGCAGTATTTGTTTTTGGGACTCTTGATTTTCTTTAGTGATATATTTTTCATTTCTTTGGGGTTTGTCCCCAAAAATATTTCTTCTACTTTGAAGTTTTTCTCTCTCTTTTCTATTGAAACAAAAAATACAGAAATACAATTAGCTTTCCAATCTCCACTTTTTTGTTTTATTTGAAGTGAATAATATACTGAAGCTTATTAAAATTAAAGCTTGAAGCTTCTTTCCTCTATTTAATATGTATTAGTATTTTGATTTTATTTATCATTAGAGTAATTCAGGTAGTGATATCGTCCATATTCTCAGGCTAGGATTAAATTCTGCCAGTGAATACATAAAATTTTGAACTCATTAAGAACTTAATTTGTTTTGGAATTTCCATTTTCTGGAAATTTCAGTGTGTTCTTCACATTAAATAATAGACAAAATTTGTATTTCTTGACAGCATTGACTTCTGAAAATCCTGTGGAGATTCTACAATATATCAGATTATTTTCATACAGATTCTACACCAGTAAGCAGCTTTGCTTTCTTGTTATCTCTTTGGGGGTACATGGGTACATTTGCCCTTGCTATGTTGCTTGTTTTAAATAAATATATAAGGCAAGAGCTAAAATAGTGAGCTGGGATACATCTCTCTATATTTTGTGACAGCTCAGAATTCAGCATTTCTTGTAGCTTGTCTGATCACTTGTGTCTCACTGAGATCCAGACTGCTCATGATGTTTTGCTAATAATATCTGAGTTAGCAGTATAAACTCATATGTCTGCACTACAGAATTGTTTGTGGTACAGTACAAACACATCCTCAGTGCTGGCTGGTGTAGGGAATAAAAACACTAAATTGATAGTAGTAGTTATTGAATTTTAACAATTAATATAGGATTATAACAATTCTGTTAAAAAAAAAAGGTTACTGTATTTTTTTTTGTTGTTAAAAAGGGTTTCCAAACCTGTCTGAAATCAATTAAAATAATATTTTTTACTACACATTTCTTCATGTAATTTGAGAATGCTAATGTACTTACTACATAGAAAAGAAAAGTAAATAAAGGAAGATAGGTTGTCTTCCAGTTAATTAGAAGCTCTGTAGAGGAAAATCAATATTCACTAAACAGAGCACAGGAAAGGCAAAGAAAAATTCTGTCTCAAAGCATCTCGCTTAAAAATACTGAGTAAGTTTCATTAGCAGCTGAAAACAGAGTGTTGTATAAGTCAGCTAGTACAGTAAAGCCTTATGAAATTTAGTAAAATCTGATGTTGTTCTGAAAAAGTTTAAAAGCTACTATTAATTTTCATGATATAATAAAATTTCAGTGATTATGAGGGTATTACAGAAGAATTATCAGTATGTCTGATATACATATATATTGGAAGGAAGTAGAAAGCAGGTTTTTGAACCAACTGGTTCCACCATGAATATTTCATTGTTTGACTCTCAGACTTGGGTCATGGTTTTATGCATGTCAAAATCTTCTCTGTAGGTATAATAATCTGAAAGGCATCAGTGGCAAAAATCCAGTTTATTCCACTGAACTAATGATTTTATCTTTGAAGTTCAGTCTAAAGTTAAATATCTTTGGGGATTTGCTTTGTTTTGTTTTGTTGTAAGTCAGACAACATTAAATCCAAGCTGGATGTCATAAAGCTATGCCTTAAAGCTAAGCAGAAGATAGTGGTTGAATGAGGGAATTTCTGAGTGAGATTTTATTGTCTTGATATAGTAGATCAGAATAGAACTAGAAAACTATTTTATTGACTTAGGAAAAGTGCAAACTATTTGTGCTGGATTTTATGAAGTTTTTACAGTAAAATATTTTCATGGATTTCTTGAAATGTTTTGATTTATCATCAGAAGCAAAAACCTAGAGCTATCTTTCAGAAATAAAGTAAAAAATCAGTTTTCATTCAATTACTCCTAGAAAACTATTACTTGCCATATTAATAGCATTATCTTTTTCAAATAATGCCAGGTAATGTGATTTAAATTATTACTACTATAAAAAATAGCAGCAGTTGCCATACTACACAATGCAAGTCATAAGCAAATGAATGAAACACTAAACTTTGAAGAATAAATCTAGGACAAAATCGCATCATTTACAACTGCATAGGAATGATCAGGATATACATTTTTTAATCCGAAAAAGAAGAAATCTATGTATGGAAAAGTCGGTAGCTGCAAGCATTAACATTAAATGTGAAATTAAATTTAAATTAACTAATGATCCATCCAGAGTGGATTTAAAATCAAGACCATTCCATTTCCAAGGGTTGACCAATGCATGTATATATTGTATAAAATATATTGCATATTCCGATACTCATGGGAGTGTAGAACAGCCACTTGAAATAGCACTCATGTCACATCTTCAGCCATTGAATTGTTGAGCCAGTTGCTTATCTCTCTTCCTTCCAAAGCAGACAAAGCAACACAGGTGTTTCCAGATCTTGATTCATATTTTCCTAACCTATGTCTCTTTGGTAGGATGAATGACTTTTTGAAGGTAGCTTTTTGAGGGACTGGAATAACCAACATTAGGAACTAAATATGTGTGAATTTAATAGCAAAGTCTAGGTGAGATGAATCATACCTCAAGAGTAGTCATATTTTAATAGATGTTTATTATTACTTTTTAAAAGTGATACAAAACAAGATTTGATAATAACTGATAACAATTCCCAGTATGTCAAAACTAACTTTTTTTTGTGATTTCGAATTTCTACTGGGAATAGACATCTATCCTGTATTTAAGTAGAAGCATTTTGTGGTGATTATTATGATCTCAAAAACAGTTATTAGACAAAACTGATTAATTTCTGTGTTGTCAAGGATGTCATGGTTTAACCCCAGCTGGCAACTAAGAACTACCTAGACATTCACTCATTCTCCCTGGTAGAAAACAGTAGCTATTAGGAGAAGAATTAACTCTATCCCAGTCAAAAACCAGCACAAGGGACAAGACCCTTAAGGTTTTTAGAGAAAAAGTAATGATTAAACCACGTTTTGGACCTATTTTTCATCTAGGATAAACCACTGAGATCTGTCTAGCAGGTCTTTAGATAGGGATCATAAATCCTAGGTAGTGGCATTTTCCCATCATTGCAAGAATGATTACATTTTTAGAGTAATTAAAGGAAGATGCACTATTTCTACAGGATTATTAGTTCACAGCGCCTTTTTCTTCGTATATATAGTTGAGGAACAGATGACATATTTCAAATGTTGTTTATGTCTCAATTTTTGTGATAACATTGTCATTTAAAATCAGGAAAGAATAGTAAGATCATAACAAAAAAAAAGCTTCTACAGTAATTCTAGAGCAGCTGGTAGATTATAAAAATATGTGATTAAATTGTTTGCCTTTTCTACTTATCTTGTGCAGCCATAAAATTATAAACCAAGGAAAACAAAAATTGCAAATGTTTCTGTGGATCTTAGCACCCAAAGTAACTGAAGAATTGCTAAATGATATACTCAGTTTAGAAGACAAAGAAAGCACTTTTTTTATTATAATCATAAAAAATTTAGAAAGATATGAGAGGTGAGAAATTTAAAAAATTGAATAGATAAAAGCAAATTTACAAAATTATCTGTGAGCTGAACAATTTTTTTTTTTTTTTACTACAAAATACAAAGCAAATCCAGAAAATCTCCATGTTTGCTTAGTTATTTAGTTTGGGGTTCAGGATTTTTGGGGTTTCTTTGGAGTTTTTTTGAGGAGGTGTGTGTAACACATATGGAAAAAAAATAACTTTTAACATGGAAAAAGAAGAGAGACAGAAGATTCCACAGCAGGAGGCAATGTTGCATACAGAGCAAGAACCCTTTTAGAAAGGGTGCACATTGTCTCGTTCTTTACAGTGTCAGCACTGGGGGTTTATCCTTTAAGATAGCTAGCCAACTGAAGATAAACAGTGCTCGTTCATTATTTATCCTTAGTATGAGCAATCTTCTCTTGTCAATTCTTTCTTCTCCTTTTTTCCATCCATTGTCAATTGTTATTGGTTTCCTTTGTTCCTGACAGCATTTCTTATTGCAAGTTTTCTGTTTCCTGCTGATTTTGATTCAGTTCTCACACTGAGAGGTACCACATATACTGGACACATGAGACATGCCAAAAGCCTTCATTTGACACAGAAAACACACTCACAAAAATGTGTTTTTATAGTTCACTCTCCTTCACAGTGGTTCCTAAATGACTGTGACAAGAAAAGAGGTCACAGAAATTTATCTTATATAGAGCCCTATAATATCATTAAAGCAAAATGTAACTTATACATGAGATTAATTATCAAATAAAACACAAATGCATAGTTTCAACCTCATTTCATCCTAAAATGCTAAACAATTTTCCTTTCAATATTCAGTTAGTAAATATAAATATACAAATGGCCAAACTAGTACTACATTTTGGCCACTGCATCAAAGAAGAACTTAAAACTCTATAGTAGAAATTGTGAAACAACTTCATCAGTTGAATAATAAGTATCCCATCTAATCTAGTTGTGGAAAGTTCCTCTATTGTTGCTGGAGAGCAAAGAAGCTTTACAAAGTAGTTTGTACCCTAAATTAAATGCAGGAAGTAGATGGGATTACCTAGTCCCTTTGTCTTCACAGATTCTATAAGGAGTTTTAAATTGGTGTTTAACAGTACATGTATTCAGCAATACAAAATGCTGTGTGATACACAGTCTACTCCTAACCTCGATAGACATTGTTTAGCACTTCACACCGTATCCATCTGCAAGGCAGATGCAATATGATCGTGTCTCATTTGCAAAGTTGTCTCAGGAGATCTTTTGGATGAATTCTGCCAGTCTTATTTATGAGTAACTACCCTCACACTTAAAAAATGCCCAACTTCTACTTTATCAAAATACATGATACACTTGTGAAACAATTACTGTTAAGCACTTACATTACTGTGGTTGGCATTCACTTACCAATCTGCAATATTTACATGGTTCAGCATTTGGTCTTTTGAAGCATAGTGAAGGAAACCAGCTAAGATTGCCCAGAGAACATAAAGGGTCATAGCAGTTGTGATTATCATACTTCTCATACTTCTCTCCATATTTCTCATGGAAGGATATGTTTTATGCTGATCTCTAAATAGAGAGATTGCACAATAGGAAAAGTTAAACATTCATACGATGAGATAAATTTCAGAATCTTTCTGAAATTACAACTGAAAATATTTTTCAACATGTCTTCATGTAGGCTTTCTTGAAACAAAGATGTCTCCTTAACTTTCATAACACAATCAATAATTCATTGACGTTAAAAGCCACTAACTAGTATTTCTCCCGTCCATTTCAACTTCCTGTATAATTTAATAATAAAAAGAATCATAGAGCTTAAGATTCTTCATTGCAATATTTTTGTGACTTGCAGTCTGTGTGTATATATCATAATGTGAATTTTTAGGACAATAATTTAGAAAACATTTAAAACAGAAAACAATTTTACTAAATTCTCTACAAGTTCTCTTCCTTTTTTTTTTTTAATCTTACCATTTAAACCAGAGCTTACTTTGTTTAATTCCCATTTTCCTCTCTTATTTTCTTTTTAAATTGATGATTTCACCAATTTACTGATGGAAAAAAGTTCCCTCAAATAAAAAAATCAGTGTTTCAAACTCAAGTTTAAACCACTCTTTGAACTGTGCATTGGACATCAATTCTTACTGAATAATAGCTTCCCATATACTTTACTTTGAGATGTTAAGTTCGGTTTCTATTGGACAGTTTAAAGAATTAACACGATTGGGATTGTTAAACACTATTAGTAGCCTGTCTCTGCCAAACCACAGAGTTAAGAAAATTTTTCTTGATGAAGATTTGCCCTTTCCTTAACCTGGGAAAGTAAAAGACTGGTTTTCTTCCATGATTTACATCATTAGCCACAAACAGAGAAGGATGCTGTTATTTCCAAGTGATGCTAATTTTCCAAACTGTGCTTCATATAAATGTAATTTCATATAAACTATCTGTCCAATTTCAAAATATTCAACAAAATATTCTGTCATAAGAAAAATCAATATTTTTGATTTTTATATTTTTGATTGAAAAGTTCTGTTTATGTTTCCAGGTTTGTCATTAGGTCTTGTTCTTTACTTGTCTATGCTGTCTGATAGGATTGCAGAGAAAATGCTCAGCACAACCAACCCAACTGAACTTTAGGATTTTATTACCTGCTTTTGCCAAGAAAGACACTAGGCTATGCTTATCTTTCAACAGCTATTTAATAGTACTCCCCAACCAAAGTAAGCCATAGCCATTCCTTTACTGAGGAATTCTGGAGGAAATCTGCCAGGCACAGTGACCTCTCATACCTCAGAGAGTTTCAAGACTTTCATGGCAACAGGTGACCAAGTAGGTAGAAACATATTAAAAATAATTTTGTAATTGAATACTGATGTGGGATTGGATCAAGGCAGGAAAAAGGAACAAAGGAAGATAATGTTTGTAGCAATTTTTAATTTTAAACTACAGTCTTTGGTATTTGAAAATTTTGATCTAGTATAGTCTCTCTCTCTTTTTAAAGGCAGAAATTGCTTATTGAACACCTTCTCCATACAATAATAATTGACGTCAGTCTTGAGCTGTACAAAAGACACCACAAAGGCCTTGCTCTAGTAGGTCTATTTTTGAAACTCTGAAGTAAAAAGTGAATTATTTGACCAATACTGAGTACATTCTTGTTTTAGATAGTTAACAATTACTTGATATAAACCTCCCTTCAAGTTTTGTATAAGATTAAGTGTTCTTGTAAGAGTAGTATGAACTTCTGACTATATTCTAATCCTATTCAAGCTCTATTCAAAAGTTTAAAAGAAATATTGACACATTTTCATAAAATTTTTTTCACATGTCTAAGAATGCAGAAAGCAATAAATTTGGCTGCCTGAATCTGCTAACAAAATGCCATAATATGCCAATATTTACCCTCATCTTCATCAATTAGTTCTAGGCAGTTTCACACTGAATGTGTTCAATTCAGACAACCGTTTTCAGGCTGTTTTGAACATGTATTGGTGAGACAGACAGATAAACAGGTGTTCTAGGTATTTCAATTACTGTTTGCCTGGCAAGTGACAATAAAATAAATAGCTCCTGCCTGGGGAGGAGGTCACAGAGTAAAAGCTTTAAATACGTTCTGACACAGCCTTTGAAAATTGATGTGATAATAGTGAGCATTGGGATCACATCCATCTTTAATTATTTGTGTATTCACGTTTAAGTTTTTACCTTTATGCTGATCAAAGCCTGAGATATACATGCAGTTTGAATATTGTGTGACAGGCAAATTGGAAAGAAAATGAGCTGTACACTTTCTATGACATAACACAATAGGCATGTAAAAGGGAAAAATATGTAAAATTAAAACAGTTTTTTCCCTATAAGCAAGTGTTATGTAATATTTTTTGGTGGTTATAAGGGGAAAATACATTTTATGTGTGGAAATTATTACAATTATTACTACTGTTACTATTATTACTACTACAATTATTTCTTTTCACAGTGTAGATTATACATTTTGCTTCATGGCGATAAATTTCAAATTTTATTTCTGTTGAGTAAATAATTTCATTGCTCAGGGGAGGTATAAAAACTGGCAGTTTCTTCTAAGCAGTTTCTCTTTCACCTAGGAGTTTCAGATACACCTACTAGAAATGAAAAAAATGATGCACATTTTACATTTATTGTTCCTTTTATTATTTAAAATTATATTGATAGTGATAATTTTGAATAATAGTTTGCTGCGCGATTCCATGTTTTTTCTGTAACAGTAATGTAAAGCAAAATACAGGGTCTTCTCTATGAAATTGTCATCATTTTTTCACACTGATAGTGCTTAAAGTTTCCATTTTTCCTGTTTTGTCTGAGTGATTATTGAATAGCTTCATTTAGATAATAAAAAAAATTATAGACCTTATTTATATTTAAGTAATACAAGTTTTCAAGGGGAATAAGCATATTTATGGACTATACAATTACCTGACTTTTATTGACTCATGAATACTATTACTTTGACACTCAGAAATTAATATTCCCTAGAGAAAAGAAATGTATTTCACCATTAGTCAAGGAGAATATTTGATTTTCTTTTTAGTGTTCCAGTGTTTAGCAAGGTTATTGGTGCTTTAATTTACCTTATATGCAAATGAATACATGTATATGCATATATAAATATGCAAATAATATATAAATAAATCCACATTTTAAAGGCTATAAGGATTAAGTGAGACATAACAGGACAGAACAAGCATAGTTTTCTATAAGTTATTACTATTTTTATACAATTTTAAAAGAAATTAGTTGCTAAACATTTCCATATCATTACACAAAGAATAGATTTAAATAAAATGTTCTTCTGGGGGCAGACTGGAATTCGTCTGTGCTGCTACACATTTTGAAGTATCTTGTTTCTTCTGTGATATAGATGTACAAGCAATTTGGATAGAAATGAATATTTTCTCTTCTCTGTACATAGAAATGAAGTTTATTAGTTTTGGATTTTAGCATTTCTAACTTTTAGGCATACTGCAACCTGCTATAACCCTGGGTCCCAAATTTAGAGGCCAGACTTCTTATGCCCAGTATAGAAAACAAGGTGTCTACAAGTAAGATTCACACAAGGCTAACAGCTGTTCACAAAATGACAATGCCAAGATATGGGAGCACTCTAAGACAGGTATCAAGAACACTTGGCATTATATATTCAGAATAAAGTATCCTCTTCAGGGAAAATAATATCCAGTTCCAGTTCAGCTGTCTCAAAAATCCTCTGCTCCAACAAAACTCTTCATTTTACTCTGCAGTTCAGAGTTCAAAGCATTAGGAGAGAAGAATCTGTTTCCAAACATTTGTGCTTGCTGATTTGGAGTTCTGATTTGATGAGAGGGTTGAAATGACATCTGTTTTAATTGCAGATATGTATTCTAATCTTTGGGGTACTGGATCATTTTTTGTGCATTTGTCTTGAAGCAATTTTATTGTGTATAAATTATTAAGTATTCACTGGCACGGGAATGGAAAGAGAAGATTCCAGTAACCCATGGGAGTACCCTAATCATCAAGATATTGGATATCGTAGTGTGAACTTCTCTCGGTATACAATTGAACCTATTTCTCTTTGTATAAATAATTAAACCACATTTTGAAGCAGAAACTTGTAACCTGACTTTTCTGCATCCCAAAGGAGAACACCAAACAACAAGCTGTACAATCAGGTTTTCAGTTTCTCCTTCTCTTTCTCAGTCCCATTGAATGTTCAATTATTTAATAGGGAGGGAAAGAGTCTCAGCTGGAAAAATTGCTAATCATACTAGTTAAGAGTCTAGATGTAAAGAGTGCTTTGAAGCTTTAATTTTTTTTTAAATTCAGCTGTCTTTATAAATTGGACAAAATAGAAATTTTATGAAGCTAAATGAGAGAATCTGTTTATTTCAGTTTCTTCTAAATAAAATCTCATATAGGTCAGGACTGAGCTAGTAGGAGGGAGGAAACAGTGGATAAGACCTTGAACTCTTCCATAGACATATCTAAACCCATAGTGATTCTGAAATTGCAGAATAGCACCTTCAGGGCCCACAAATCAAATTTAAGTAGCAGAAAAGAAGTAAGGAAATGTAAGCAGAAACTTATTTTAAAATACTATTTTTTAAGATCAAGTATTGTATTCAATACCTCTAAATACATGAATTGAAAGTATGTTTCAATAATTTCAGATTCTTCATTGATTTGTGTCTATAAATTGTAGATGAGTATATATGTATCTCAGTAAGAATGCCTGGAATATGAACAGGATGTTTGTAAAATAAAACATAAATTCTGTACATGAATGTGGATGGAAAAAGAAGGCACTAGTAAGCCTGAACAAAGTGAAGGAAGTACTCAAAACTCTAGTTTTAAGCAATTGAAACTTATATGTGATTTTCCATAGCAGGCCAATTTGGCTGTCAGCTTTATATATATCAAACTCATGTTTAATTGTCTAGGGAGCAAAAATTTACCAATCCACTCATTGTAAATGTAAAATATGAAAGATGAAATTTTATACATGGATAAAAATAGAAATTATAGCTGCAGCAGAATGAATTGCTGTTACTAAGTGTTTGTGCTTTGGTCTGAAAAATGCCAGTACTATAAATTGCCTAAATAAAAGGGAATCTGATATCAAAGTGATTTAAGGTCTACTGAAGTCAAGATCCTTGTGATAAAGTGATTTTCTTGTCATCTGTAAAAAGAAGAGAAAACTCAAACCACATTCCTTTAGTGAAAGTATGGAAGGATCAAGATTCATATCTGGAGTTCCGATGGAGCCCAGCCAGCAAAAGATTTTGACTTGAGCTGAAAGAAGCAGCGTTTCCAGAGGAGATTGTACAAGTGGACTTACATCAGACAATTCCAACAATTCTGGAAAACAAAGAGAAGTTTGGAAATTAACTAGTGATTATAATCAATAGTAATTAAAATATTCAATAATAAGTGTGCCTTGTAATAGCAGTTGGTGCAGGGGAGGGTCACTAGCTCAGGGGGCTCACTAATGGTTGAAATTCTGAAGGTAGCAAAAAAATTAATTACTAAATACATAAGGAAAGATGTCAACACAGACCAATACAGAGAAAAAAGAATAGCCTGGCCTAGTTCTAAACGACTTAGTTTGAGTGTTGACTAATACTTTGGTAGTATTCCCATGGGGATCAATGAGAAGTCAGGTAAAATAACTATAGAAAACCTCCACGAAGAACAGATACTCTTCAACACTCAAACTACTCATTTAGAAATACCTTGGGTACTTCTGAACAAGCTCAGTCTTAAAAAATTAATTTAAAAATTTAAAAAAATCTTCTAATTTGCTTATTCTGTTTATTTATTGTGGTTTTTCTTCTTTACCAGAATATTTTTGGCTGAGATCACACTAAGTTGTCACTTCTCATTTTTCCAGATTTACTTTGAGACTAGGCATTATGTATATGTCTTCCTCACAAATGGTGCCACAACTTGCTACACAAATTTTGTGGCAGGATATTACACCATGAAAGTATCACATCTTATATTTGAAGAGGCAAACTGAAGTATTTAAAAATCAGTCTAAGTGCAGATAGCACTTAGACTATGAAAAGAGTCACTATTAGAAGGGGTTGTCTGGTAATGGTACCCCTTAGATTATGTCTATACACATGCTTGTGTGTGCACTTTGTATAATGTAGGCCTAAAAACATTTAGAAGTGCAAGAATCAGCAGTTGCCAGAATAAAGGTTTTCATCTCTGTTTGGGCTCGTCTTTGGATATGGACATTGCCTTCAGTTATCCATGCTTGTCACACTTGCTCTATAAATTTCTGATGTTCTCTGCAAATACATCACAGTGTACATATTCAAAATATGCAAAAGGCCCACCATGAATGCTGTCTACCTAAGTCACATTTCTAGCTGAGGACAGATTATGGCAGGACTTTTCAATAACTTTCCCATTTTTTGGAAAGCTTAGTTGGCAGGGATATTACTGTAAAAGTTCTAAAGGTTTGGAAGTCTTGTCTACAGATGAGATTGGTAAATTTTTAGTCTGTTGTAACTGTTGTCATTTTCCAAAGAACTCAGGCTAAGTCTGTGTTTTGAATGCGAATATATCAACAATACTAACAGGTTTATAGAAAACCTATCACTCCCTTGTTAAAAGGCAGATATGCCTATCATGTCACCTAGCTTTAGACACATTTCAGCTGTCCAAATTGAGCTTCTATTTATAGTCAATGGCAAAAATCCTGACAAACTCTTGCCATCAAAAAAGATGTACCTCAAGAATATACAAACTATATCTATACGTGGCCAACTCTAGAAAGTCTTTACAGTAGAAGTTACATCACAGGCCTATGTATATATCTGCAGCGGTCCTGTGGACTGGTAGGTAACTCAAGTCCTTGTACATGGGAGGTAACTAACAAAAAGTTGATATTATCTGCAGAAATGAAAAAAAGAAATTGTTAAGTCCCAGAGTCAGTTTGGTCATGTATGAACTAATCCTAGATCTCTCGTGTATCTTGATTGATGGAACAGATGGCGAATATCTCATGGGCTGAGGAATTAAGCTTTTATGGAAAACTGAGCCCCTTACATCCTGAAATGTATCTTTATTTTTTTTTATGTTGAAACAATTGTTTTTCCATATTACATGATAAATTTACGAGTGAAGAAGCTTCCAACATTTTATTGATGGTCTGTTAAATGGTGTATTTAAGTACGTAAGATCATTATATCTCTGTATCCTTGTGGTCCTTTCTCTCTCTTTCATAGCATCATAGAATCACAGAACTCTTTGGTTTGAAAGGGATCCTAAAGTTCATTTAGTTCCAACCTACCTGCCATAACAGGGACACCTTCCACTAGACCAGGTTGCTCAGAGTACTGTCAAACCTCATATTAAACAATTTCAAAGATGGACCAACTTGTCTGGGCAACCTGTTCCAGGGTATCACCATTGTTATTGTAAAAAGTATCTTCCTTATATTTAATCTATTGTCCTTCAGAACAAATCCATTGTACCTTGTTCCATCACTATAGGTCCTTGTAAAAAGCCCTTCTCTGCCTTTTTTATAATTCCCTTTATATAACGAAAGCTCACAGAATTCTCTCTCTGGAGCCTTCTCTTCTCCAAAATGAACAATGCCAACTCTCTCAACCTTTCTTCACAGGAGAAGGGCTCTAGCCCTCTGATAATATTCTGCTCTCCTCTGAACCCATTCTATCAGGTCAATATTTTTTTTTAGACTGGGGACCTCAGCTGGAAGCAGTATTCTGGCTGAGGTTTTATAATAGTGAGGTAGAGGGGTAGAAGAGCACAGAGAGGGAAGTATTGTTGTCTGATTATACAGGTCTTTATAGGGAAATGGGATATTTTTGGCTGAGGTCTCAGCTTTTTGTGGCTTGTAGGTGCTACTGTAATACAAATAAATAACAACTGAGTTAACAACATATTTATATTTTGTTCAGGATATTTTATCAACCCAGCTAGTGACACATGAAGCAGTGCAGCAGTTTTAATGCTTATGCAAGAAATTAGTGATCTCATTAACATAATCACTGCAGCCACCTTTTTCTGCAGCAGCTGTGTCATCAGAGTCTCTTTAGTGATATAGATTGTAGCAGCAATAACAGGTAACTGCTGACAAAGAGAAAAGGACTCATAAAGGATGATAAACCTCCGAGGTCATGTGAAAGGGGTTAAATGCTTGACAGGAAATATGGATGCCAAATAGGAAGTGAAGTTACATTTCTGCCTCTTATATGGTAAAACATCACAGGCAAATGTTTGATTTATAGATTGATCGTCTCTGATTTTTTTTTAAATTTTTCTCTTGACTTCGATATTTTTTCCCTTTCCTAGCATTAATGTGGATGTTATAATCTACATAAACAAATACATATATCCAAAGCCTATAATAATAAAGAATTAAAAAAAAATAGTTCAAAATGCATTAACAAAAAAAGTTAAGTTTTATATGGAAACTTTGACCTTAAACTAGTATCATTTCCTGCCAGTCAAATTTATTATTTTTAAACTGAAAATATTCCAGCCTTCTCCTCTTGAGCTTTTAGTTCTAGCTGTCGTCAGAAGGCATACTCAGGATGGGTACAGGGACATGATTTCTGCATTAAGGAAGGCTGCTTTTGAAGTACAGCCACCTTTTTACAAGGTCCAGCTGCTCCTCATTATGTAAGGGCATTGTTTAGGTTAGCTGACTGAGTCCTTCCCTATAAGCATTAGGCAGAAGAAAACTCTCTATTGGCCGCTTCCCAAGATAATATTTTACTGTGCCAAAGAGTTGACACAGACCTTATGTGGTGGGATGAAGTGGAATCACAACTATCATCAGAGTTAATAGGAGTTTTACCATTTTCCTGACTAGATAGAACATTTCATCAAGAGATTTTAGGGCAATTTTTTCCCTAATAGTTTGTTATTTAAAGCAACAACCTGTCTTTTTTCTACACTTCCTCCTGTGAGGCAATCATTTTATTACACTTAGTAGAACAACAATCACAAAAAATGTTAATGACTATTTAAAAAATATAATCTTAGGGTTTTGAAGATGAAATTAACAAATATTGTGTATGTTTGTGTGTATGTGTACTTTGTTTGATTTGACTTTGGCAAAACAAGGAATAAAGATGAAAAATTAGGTAACAATAATAATAGTAATAAAAATAAATGTCCAAATTCTGAAATTACAATGGTGCTAATACACTACAGGGCTCAGTTGCCATCAGTTACTGGAGAAAGTACCCCAGGAGAATTGGCAGCCACAGCCTTCTCTGCAGTCTGCACTGCAGATGTGGTGCTCTGAGGAGTGGCACAGGCTGGGGCAGGCTGGCAGAGCCACTGTTGAAAAGGACCTGGGTGTTCTTGTGGCCAGCACGATGAGCAGGAGCCAGCAGCACCTTGGCAACAAAGGTGGCCAACAGCTCCTGAGCTAGCAGGACTTTTAATAGGTCAAATTAAGAAATGTTATTCTGCCTTACTGGGAATTAATCAGGGTTTCTTTTTTGTCTGAAGAAGTAAAAGATGTAGAGGGACAGTAAATAGCAGCATTCTGATACCTACTAGCAGGTAGCCAAGGAGATAGAGACAAGCTTTCTAGTCAGGGACCCAGCAGAAAGGACCAGGGACAGGGGACATGAATTGAAAGAGAAGCGGTTCTGAAAGCCTAGCTAAGATAAAACCAACCCAACCAACAAAATAGAAAGAAAATAAAATCACTATCAGATTTAATAAGCTTTTTTATAGGTTGCCCAGAAAAATCTTAATTCTTTGAGTAACTCAAGGCTCTTCTAAAAAAAAGTTCTAAATCTCTTGTTTGAATTTAGAGTTGTCTCTGTTTGAGAAGGAAGGTGCATTGGGTGACTTGTCAAGGTTCCTTCCTATATGAATGATTCAGTGATTCCACAGTTTTTATGACTGTTCACTAAGACCAATTTGACTCAGTAGCATTAAATGTTACGTTGTACTGGTACTCTGAATGATTATCAAAATATAAGCTGAAGGAAATCAATGAAAGTTGTATGCGTTTGTCTTCAGGAATAGCTGAGTCTAATAAAGCAGCATTTATCAATAAGCTCCAGGCAACATGGCATTTTTTAATATAAATGTTTTATCTATTCTGTCACCTTTGCCTAGGATGTTTCAATTGAACTAGAACTGAGAATTTGATTTTCATTTCCTCTTCTCAAAAATATTATATATGGCTTCCTTCAAGTTTAAGATGAATTCTTATGGTCTATTTAGATGTAAGGCAACTCATTCTTGACATTATAGAAACTAAATTAAATTTTAACTGTCAGTAGTCTTTGAAGTGTCAGTTTTACTAATACCTCCATGTGTTTGCATAATAAGTTTTTTGATTAATTTTTGAATTC